GGGACACGGAAGCCTGCAGGCAGACATGGTGCTGGAGAAGTAGCTGAGAGTCCTACGTCTTGCAGGCAACAGGAGTGGACTGAGACACTGGATGATGTCTTGAGCACAGGAAACCTCAAAGCCCACCCCACCAGTGACACACTTGCTTCAACAAGGTCACACCTACTGCCACAAAGCCACACCTCTGAATAGTGCCAATCTCTGTGATTATGGGGCCAATTACATTCAAACTACCACAATGAAAAAAGAACACTTTCTAAGTGTGCATAAGGTCCTGGGTTCTAACCCCAGTAAATACATAAATAAGTGGTACTATCCTAATGAGAGCTAATATTTCCTCACCTATCTGCTTCAGATCATGTAGGTGCCGGCATGTTCCACATACTTGGAAGGGCTCATTGCCCACTATCCTGGAAATGCACACGTAGGGGGCATCGAAAACAGGGAATGTACCTAACATTCACATGTTAGTTACATGTAGGTTTTAGCATTGGACAACAATACATTTCCCAGAAGCCAAGACTCAAGACTGCACTTGTCCTCCTGCCATCGACCACAAGAAAAACATTGTATTCCAGTATGAACACATGTTTAAAAATCAGTTTTCAGACTAGCTGCTCAGAGCTATGTACAGTTTCTTGGCTAAGCAAAGCAACTGATCGTCCCATCACCTTGACTGTCTGCTTGGAAAATCATCAAGGCTATAATAATGGAGGAAATTGAAGCAGAGCACATGGGTTTCTCTGGGCTAAGGACACAAAGGGTGGCATGGGGTAGGTGCAGGGGAGAAAAGCAATATGCTGACCTGGCCAAAATGTGCCATCAGGCATGAGAGAAAAGGAAGCAAGGTGTGCTGTTTAGTGCTTCATCAACTTGTCAAAAACTAGAGTTACCTGTGAAGAAGGAACCTCATTTGAAAAAATGCCTCCATTATATTGACCTGTAGGCAGCTCTGTGAGATAGTTTCTTTATTAATAACTGATATAGGAGGATCCAACCCACTGTGAGCAAAGCCACCCTGGATAGGTGGTCCTATGTTATATAAGAAAACAGATTGAGTAAGCCAGTAAACACTATTGCTCCATGGCCTTTGTTTCAGTTCCTGCCTCTGGGTTCCTGCCTTGAGTTCCTGCCCTCATTTCCTTTCTGTCTTAGGGTTTCTTTTGCTGCAACAAATACCATAACCAAAAAGCAAGTTGGGGAGGAAAAGATTTATTTGGCTTACACTTCAACATTGCTGTTCATCACTGACAGAAGTCAAGACAGGATCCCAGAGGCAGGAGCTGATGCAGAGGACATGGAGGGGAACTGCTTACTGGCTTGCTCCCCTTGGTTTGCTCAGCCCATCTTGTTATAGAACCCAGGACCAGCTGGGCCCTCCCACATTGATCACTAATTGAGAAAATGCCTTAGAGATGGATCTCATGGAGGCATTTCCTCAGCTGAGGCTCCTTCCTCTGATGACTCTAACTTGTGTCAAGTTGACACACAAAACCAGTTAGTACACTTTCATAGTGTTCTATAACTGTATTTCCTCCACATTGCTTGTGGTCATGATGTTTATCCCAGCAACAGAAAGAAAACTAGGACAGACGGTAAAGAAGAACCTCCAGAAACTGAAGCATCCCCTTTGAATCTGCTGACAAATGTCAACTTCTTAATGGATGGTTGCAGTTTACTAAAAGACATTTTTACCTTAGATGCTGTGCACAATGGCTAAGACAAAGAGATATCCTGGGAAAGAATAAGATATATTCAAGTGTGGGCATGGGCTATCATCATCGTTGTTGTTATTATTATAGCTCTATAGATCAAACTGGCCTCAAACTCACAAAGGCCTGCCTCTGCCTCCTGCGTGCTGGGATTAAAGGTGTGCGCCACCACTACCCATGGAGCATAGACTTTTAAAGGGAAGTAATAGTTAAGTGTCTTAATATTAACCATATATACCATGTTGGTGGCTCTCAAGCTACACTTTAAAGGGCTACTATTTCTGATAAGTGAAATTATAGGGTGGTTGGAGAAGTATCTTGAATGGGGTTATAATCTGATAAGGGTGAATCAGGAGTCACTGGGATTGCACAAGGGAATTAGAAGGCACCCCTTAATTATAAAGGGGATTTCTGACAAGCTGTCTACAAATTTTCAGGTTTTTATTTGGAAAGAGAGAGACCTTCATGAGATGTTGCTCATTGTGTTGGAATCCTTGACTCTCGGTTGACAAAAAGCTTCAACATGGTTTCCAGATGAGGGGCCCCTTTCACTGTCTATGTCCCAGTAATGTTCCGTCTTTCTATTCTACCTCATGGTTACTAAACTGAAATACACAGAGTGGAGCACTGTAAAACTGAGCCCCGTGGGATCACACTGAGCCCTGGTGAGCTATGGTCTGAACACTTGGGGCTCATACACCCTGGACCAGTGGGTGCAGAGATCAGCCCTCATCAGGAAAGATGAGTCAGCCCTAGAGTGGTCATCATCCTGCCAAAGTTCAAAACCAAGCCAACCCCTAAGAGACTTTTCTACTGCTAGAACAATGGCCAGCAATCTTAAAGAGAAAACAACAAAATGTGGATTTAGGAAAATCACAGTATGTAAAAAGAATTACTACACATGTGCAGAGCCAGGGAAAGGAGGACCCAAAAATAGGAGAAAACAAGCACAGCCAACCAGGAACAAAACAAGAGAAAATAAGCATAGCCAACCAAGAACAAAACTGGAAGGATGTTTTTAAGAAGATGGACTTTATACAGTTGAATCTTCAAACTGTAACACAGAAAATTAAAAAACTGACAAAATGACACCAGAGACTCAGTGACCTATAGAGGAACATAAGCCAATTTAGACAGTTTATGTTTGATCTCACTGATGCTTAAAACTTCTGCAATATCTATCTGCTGGGAATCCCACCCAGTACAATTTTCATTTTAGATATTACATTCTCAGAGGTGAAAACTGCTTAGAAATCCCATTTAGTTATTTTTTAAATCACATTTCTTGCCTCATTGTGTTCATATATATCTTTAAATCCTTAAACATATTGAGAGCAGCTGTTTCAAAACTCTGCCTGTGAATTCCATGTCCCTGCCATTCCCATTGTTTCTGTTTTTCTTTCGAGTCATAATGGGAATAAGAATGGTTGTCAGAAAATGCTAGCCAAGGACCCTGACACAGTGTTTGCAAGTGCTGAAAGAAAAGAAAAGTCAACCCAGGACAAAGAAATCCCAGCAAGGAGAAATACCAGAGGCTTCTGCACTGCCACTGAGAACAAAAGCAGCCACTGTGAAAAGATCGTCAGGAAATCTCTTCCAAAGCTAAGCCTGTGTTTCGAATAATCCAGGAATTTCAATTCTAGATTTCCACTCTTGAAAAAAACCATTCAAAACATGTGTCCACTGATTCTATATCAGCAAGGCAAACATCTACCCAGCTCTTTTCCCTTTGCCGTGCAATCAACAAACTTTTCTTTCTTAAAAGTGCTGAACAACTAAAATGCCCATCAACAGCATCAATAGGAGGAAGGATTGAACTATATCTGCTTCTGCTCACCCTAAAGTAAAAATAAATTAATGATACTTGTAACAGAATGGACTGACCTCAAACACATCAGGCGGGAGCAAGTATACATTATGTGATTTCATTAATATTAAATTCCACAACAGGCAAAACTAATGTGCATTTAGAGGAAGCAGGTGAATGCTTAGCTGCGTGGGGGGAGACAAGAAGTTGAACAGAGCAAAGGGGTGCTTATTACATATAGCCATTTTGTTTGTAGTGATGAATGATTGGGTATACAATGTCAAAATCCACTGAACTGTGTAGTCAGAATGAGTACAGATTGTTGCGTGTGAATTATGACTCCAGATGCCCTGAGACCTCATTTCTAGAGTAAATCCAGCACTAGCAACCTCCCTGCCTTAATTTTCTTCCTGGCTGACCTCATATGATGCTGCATTCAGTGGGTGTTTTATATGCAAAGACTGTAGAAATGAACAGATCATTGCATGTTGATTCATGTCTCCCAGCTTCCAGGAAAATCCGTCCTTACTCAGATGTTAACTCTGCCAAGAAACCTTCCCAGAAACACAGACTGGTGACTCTGACAACACTCGGGTCACAGCTCTATGACTTACTGCCACATTTCAATGTTGATTATCACCTCTTTTGTCCACTGTTCGTTAGCTACAAGAAGCCAACAAATCCATCCTGATCTAACCTTATCATTATACTATCTCCTAATCCAGGATTTACTAATTGCGTGTACTTCCTAGATGCCTAACAGAATGGTTGCCTCAGAACGTTCTGGAAGCAGTAGCCACAGAGGCCCTGCTCTATTTAGTTTCTGTTCTGGTACAAATAGCCATGAGATGTTATTTCCAGAGAAAACCCTGCATGAGAGCCTTCCTGTTTTAATTTACTCCTAGCAGAACTAAGAAACAGACCACGCATGTTTTCTAGTCTCTTGACTGTTCATGGACCTCTATTCCAGGGCATCCATAAAAGCAAATTGTTGAGCATCAAAGAGGCAGGTGAGTCCCCCTCCTCAGAAGGTCTTATAAATGGTTCCCAGCCTCTGAGATGGTTAGATATAGGAAAAACGAGATTGTGACCTTTTAAAGCCGGTTGCTTATCTTTCTCTCTTCCTCTGTACCCACCTCCCTTTATTCTTCCTCTTTCTTTAGTAGTTTCCTTTTTGTCTTTTTCTTGGTCCCTTTGCACTTTCCCAGTGCTACTGCTTGGATTGGCTCTTCCTTCCTAGCTCATAGGACTGTTCTGCATCCTGGGTTCCCATGGAGAATCCCTCATAGTCCGGCCTCTTTCCCGCTGCTCCCCACTCGTGCCCCTTCTCTCCTCCCTGCCCTCCGGAAAGCAGAGTCCCTCACGAAGCCCAGAGGTGGGAGGTGGGTCCTGGCGCCGGGTCCGCCCCTCAGTGCGTGTGCGAAAGCCTGTGTGGCGGTGACGCGCAGGCGGCGGCGGGAAGGGGAGGGAGAGAGAAAGAGAGAGGGAAGGAGGCCGCCGACCGCCGGGGCTGCTGGGCTCCTGCGCGCTCACGCTCCCCGCCGCCCGCCGAGGCGCAGGCAGGGTGCAGGCGGCGGCGGCGGGCGGCATGGAGAGCCTGCTGGAGAACCCGGTGCGCGCCGTGCTCTACCTCAAGGAGCTCACGGCCATTGTACAGAACCAGCAAAGCCTCATCCACACCCAGCGCCAGCGCATCGATGAGCTGGAGCGGCGTCTAGACGAGCTGAGCGCGGAGAACCGCAGCCTGTGGGAACACCAGCAGCTTCTGCAAGCCCAGCCTCCGCCAGGGCTCGTTCCCCCATCGACAGCCCCACTGCCTGCTCCTACAACCAGCGCTCCGGCCGCCACTGCGGCCCAGGAGCCTCTTCAGGACCACGGACAGCTCATACCCGCCACGCCGGAGCCGCCACTTCAGCACCACGGACAGCTCCTGGCACAGCCCCAGCCGGGCCCCAGCAGCAGGGCTCAGGCTCCCCAGCCGCCCCACCAGCACTCGGTGGTACCCGGGGTGATAGCTGACAAGGAGAAGGAGCGTCCCCCGAGTTGTTGTGCTGCCGCCGGAGCCCTGCTTCAGCACACATCCCCCGCCGCCCTCGGCAAGGGCGTCCTGAGCAGGAGACCGGAGTGAGTGGGGAAGAGGAGGTGGGAGAGGAAAGTGGGTGTGAGCAGATAGGGGAAACCAGCATGTAAGAGTGAAGGGCTGGGTTAATGTGAAGTAAAGCGGATGGAGATGCCTTGGATAGAAATGTGTCAAGGAGATCCCCGCAAAGAAGCGCTTGAGATACATGTTTGAGGTTCTGTGGTGGTTGGAGCAAAAGGAAGTATCTAGACCATCTTTGGGGCAAAAAAATGAGAGACATGAGCTTAAACTGGTTGGGGATATTGGTAACTCTCGGGAATAAGAGATAAAATTGAGAGGAAATGGGGGGGTAAAAAATTAAGCCAAAGTAGAAGACCATTGAGGGATTTAAGCTAGGAAAAATTCAGAAGGGAGTTTGCATAGTACAACTGTTTAAATAGTGAGGCACCAAGAAGACGACTTGATCAGGAGGTTTGTTAAGAGCTTTAAAGGGGCTGGGGTCAAGCACGGAGTTTTAGAGCAGGGGGGCTAGAGCTGAAGGACAGGAGGGATATGAACAGACAGGGAAGCTGGAATAGGAAGATGCAGGGTGGAGACCACCCTGCCCAGGGCAAAGAGGTGGCTCTTTATCTGATGCAGGGGGAGTCAAAGCCAGGAGTGGCTCACTTGGGGAAGCTTTCTGCCTTCTGACCCAAGTAAGCATCTTCACTCTGAGTCCCTGCGGTGCCAAAGGGGGACACAGGAGCAACCTTCCAGACTTGTGGGTGTCTCTGTTACAGCTTAAGGACTCACCTGGCTCGAGCTCACCTCTGACTCAGAAGCGTAACTGCGTGCAGGGTGGTTGGCAGTCGTGGGAAGGGAACAATGAGAATGGAAACAGCTCTTTGAATGCAATGCTTCTGGAAGTTTCTGTTATAGCTACTTACGGCAAGACCTATTTCCCTTTGGTTATTTGGAAACCTCATCTTGGATTCCAGGAGAAAGGTTAATTGTGCCCCGGCAGTCTAAGGCCTGGAGAATTTTCTCCACTCATGAGGTCCATGGAATAGGAAGAGTTGAAGGGCGCTGGACTGTGCTCTCTGTATTGGGAAAGCTTGACAATCCTGTCAGTATTACTTCTCTGATTAGACAGGGAAGGGAAGAACAGCCCTGTGGCAATTAGTACCTGGTGAATGCCAGCCCGGCGGTGTGATGCTAAGGGAGAGGGAGGGACAACGTGGGAGGGCAAAACACCTCATCTCTGCTCACCCTGCATGTGCTTTGTGTCTGGAAGACACTTGGGAAGGTTGAAGCTTTTCTCAAAAGCTTACCTCTTCTCTGCCCCTACCTCACTGTCTCTCCCATCTCTGTGGAGTTAAGAAGGTGGGTCAGCCATGCTGGATCACAGCTCCAGTTTGAACAGAGTCACAGAACCCCAGGGGTGGAGATCTAGGATGGCCCAGCTTGATAGACCTAATGCATCTGATTCAACCCCATGGCACATTTGTCTTTCAGTTTTATGACTATCTTTCTTTTTTGGTATGTAAAGCTGCAAGGCAGTTTTCCCTCAACACCCACATCTCAGATAAGGACAACATTCTTCCCAGATATTATGCGGCCTTTTCCCCCAACAGAGAGGACAATTCCACCCTACTTCCTTAGGAGCAGCCGTAACAGCCTGACGTTTAGGATTCTTCAGCTGAAGTCTCTCCTCATGACGTCTAGTATCTTCCTTCTCACCACTACACCCTCACTTTCTTTGCATCTCACTGGGAAGCTGTGATCAAGAAGGGTTGGTGACTATCTTGTTCTTGGAATGAGGATGTCTCTGCAGACCCCACAGGGTCCTAGAGAGCCCCCCTTCTGTGCAGATGTTCCTGCTAGGAATTCAGAGATTGAGGGTTCACCTGGATTCCTCTCCGGCCTCACATGTCAATACCATGTGTCGTCCTTGTCTTCCCTGCCCTGCTTCTGCTTCCTATGGAGCAAAAATAAGAATCAACCAGCATGGTGGAGGGGAGTAGAAGCAGCTGGGAGCATTTTACCTAGAAAGTTGGCTAGGCACCGAGGGGTTCATCATATCATTAGCTTCCCACTTTCTCCAGACTCTCCAGACTTCCCCTTCTCCTCAGGCCTAGATACCTAGAAACTTTAAGAGTAATAATATACTTACCTCGAAACTTTCTTCCCTTCTTTGCAAAATAACTCACACCTTGGATGGCTGGAGGCCCCTGGAATTACATTTCTTTTCCCATATTTTTGCCTGACTTCACAACATTTCCCCATAGAATTTGGGAATGAGTCACTGTTGCTCACTGGGTGTTTAGCCCACTCTAGCTTCTACCGGCGGCCCCATTCTGAATGCTTATCCTCTGTGCATCCTGTATTACAGGTCAGGGCTAGGTGGAGCCAGCAGGGAGGGAGGGAGGGAGGGAGGGAGGGAGGGAGAGAGGGAGGGAGGGAGGGAGGGAGGGAGGGAGGGAGGGAGGGAGGGAGGGAGAGAGAGAGAGAGAGAGAGAGAGAGAGAGAGAGAGAGAGAGAGATCCATGTAAACAGGAAGAGGAGGGGAAGAGAAACAGCAGTTGTGCCCCTGGGCCCTACCTGCTAAGTTGGTTCTCTACCATGCAGAGGGCGGAGAGATGCAAGAGAGGACTTCAGATCATAATTTTGCTGAAAATCTTTGCTTATTCCTCTCTGCCCTCATTACAGAAGAGTATGCCTTAGGTAGGCAGCTACAGATGGGCAAAAGAGTTTGAAGGGCCAGGAATTGTTAGATACCATCTAAAACACGGGCGCGCACATGCGCGCGCGCACACACACACACACACACACACGCATGCATATGCACAGCCCATCACAACAGCCATCGATTCCTCGTCTTGCCCAACACTGGAAGAATCAGGAGCTCAGGGCCTGGGAAACGATGGATCATTTAGTGGCCATCTGATGGGGATGACTGTGCAGCCTGGCCTCTCTCCCTCCTTCCGCTGGGGGACACACAAAGGGGTTGGCATTGGCATCCAGGCTCAGAAAGCAGCAGTGTGGAGGCGGATGAGTACAGACATGTTACAGAAGCCCTAGGGGTTAACATCCTTTCTCTGCCTGCTTCCTGCTCCTGCTATGCACGAGCCCCCACTGCTTACGCTGCTTAATGAAAGCAGCAAACATAGTTCCCTCCTCTTTGTTTTTTCAATCAAGGCTCACAGCAGCTACAGAATTGATTATTATCTTTTTCCTGGCTGGAGGCAGGCCTTAGCCTGACCTGGAAAAGTCCCCTTGGTGGAAGCGCATGGCCCCATGCAGCCTTTGTGTCCACAGCTTCCACTCCAGCACACTTGCCCACCTACTCAGTCATGGGTTTAGTTGGGAATCCCTGGGCTTGCCTGCATCTCCAGCCCCAGAGGTAGCTGATTACTCACTTCAAGGTAAGATTTGGGCATTGCGTTTCAAATTCAGCTCTTACTCCAAGCTCCCCAACTCAGGGTAAAAGCTCAAGAGCCTTCGTATTTACTGTGACCTTGGTCTTCCTCCCTCGCCTTCCTGGAGCACCCTTCCCCTTCTTCACTACCATTCTCCTTTCTTCTCTTTTCCCCTCTCTTCTCCCAAATGTCCTCTCCCCTTCTTCCTCTGGTGCCCATTTCCTTCTCCCGATGGAGATGGAACCCATGGCCTTGTACATGTTCTAGCACTGAGCTTCACCCACTAGCACTACATGAAACAAATCTCGAGTCATCTTTACAGCTCCGTAGCTTCATGCTGGCTAGAGTCCGGGGATGGCTAGATGATTCATGCATGTGCCTTCCAGCCAGAGTTGTCTAAGATGCTGACTGAAGCAGAGATCTCTACTGTTGAGTGAGGGCGATCTCTGGCGGCATCTGGCTAGTTTGCCCTGGAAGTTCTCAGGAGGGTGAAGGTCTACCAGTGGGCTAAATGAATCAGATGTCCAGTCGGTTAAGATGTCCGAAGGAGGAAGTGGTCCTTATGTGACATATAACGAGACGCATCTAGAAGTGTTTAAGCAGGTGTGAGAGTACTGCAGCTGCCTGGAGCCACCCCCTTTCCACATTACGGAGTAAAAGAAATGGGCAAACACAGAGACTCGGAACCAGACGGAAGAGTTTCTTGGCTAGAGGTGAGAATCTGTGTCAGAAAACAGTAAGAGCCAAGGACAGTCAGAAAGGAAATCGTCTAGCAGACTCAGTCCTGGGAGACATCTGTGTTGCATGCAGACATTGCTTCCTCTGACAGAATGTCCCTGCCTGAGCCATGCCAGTGGGTATGAACAGTCTCATCATGCCTCTAGCCTAGACTGCCAAAGCTCACTCATCTATCTAACCACGTCCACAAACTAGTTAGAAAGTGGGGTCAGATGAGGGTTCACTTGAGGAAGGAGTGAATCCTGTCCACTCCTGCAAGCTGGCACACAGCAGATCTTTATAAAGATTTGCTGCCCAGACCTTTGCTAAGGCCCAAACTGATCCTCTTTCTGTCCAGTAATACAAGGGGAAAAAACAAAAACAAACATTTTAGAGACTCAAGCCATTCGTTGGCTTCTGGGGACCACTCCCCCCCAATGCATCGAATCTCCATTTCCCCATTTCCAACCCTTCCCATATCACACGGGCAACACCACAGGCCCCCACAGAGGCATCCCAGCACAGGCCCCCACAGAGGCATCCCAGGACAGGTTCCTCTTGGCCCTGACCCAAGCCAGAAGCATAGCAGTTGGAGATGCTCATTCAGCAAGTATCTGTGCACCTGAATTCCAAAGGTCACTTCCTGGGGAGGAGAGGAGACAGACAGGGTTAGGGCTGGGTGGGGAGGAAGCTAAATGGTATAATGTGGGAAAGAAGAGTAAGCAAGGACCCACAGTTAGACCAAGGTCTAAAGGGAGACCCAACTCCAGAGTTTAAATCCCATGTAGAGACTTTTACGCCAACTTCCCTTATTGGGAAGCCAGAACATTTTTTCTAGACATAAACTCCATGGTCCAGGACACAGAATGGCAGCAGCTTCATAAGAGATCCTGGGGACACTCTGGCAGGTTCTCAACCAGGAGAATTCT